AAAAAATAAAGAATGAGCTGAATTTGGTACTCGGCGCAGCTATGTTTTTTTTTTCTGCAGAAAACTGTTGTGGATGCTCAGACTATGAATGCTATAGTAAATGCGAAACTCCTGCACTGTCAGGAAAACACACTAAAACTTTCCTTCCCTCTCCGCCCCTCTCCTCCTGTCTTTCTCCCCCTCCCCCCCTCCTCCCCTCCTCACCCCGCTTCTCCTCCGCTTGCCCGCTCACCCCATCTTCTCCGCTGTCAAGCAAATTAGCCTTTACATAAATTTACCTCTCCTATCTAAAAAATGTGTCCATGAAAAGAAACTCTTCCATCTCATTTCAGACAAAGAAATCAGCTGAGTAACTCTAAAATTCCTAGCAACGCTTGCCAACTTTAACTTATATTTCATTATGCAATTTTGTCCGTGATCTAATTATTACCACAATACCTTGAAATTAAAAAGGCTTGATAATTGGATGTCTAGCATGGGCAACAAAAAAAAAAAAACGTCAGCACAACGATCGAACGAAATAAACGAAATGCTTTTAATCGGGCGAACGAATTCGCTCCACAGTTTCCCACGTACAAATCATCAAAGCTCTTTTACTTTCTGAATAAAAACTACGCATAGCCTCCTGGAGGCTGACGTTACTCTTTGTTACTTAAATCAAGATGTGTTGCGAGTACTTATTTCTCGTTGATTTACGTGTGGTCGACAAGGCACAAGAAGAGTTCCAAGATTTCAGATCAGTGTTTTGTGCATTTCTGAGGTGAATTTTTAGTATCAAACCGTACTTTGGTGCACAACCGTAAGTTGAAGGCCCGTACGGTCTCACAATTTTTAGTTCTCAACTAATTATTTTACCTTATACAGCAGGCATAAAAAACGAAATTTCTGATTCTTAAGTTTCACTGCTTTCAAATCACAAAATTTCCTTATACTTACAACTGAGGACGCAGCAAACTTGGAATCAAGTTTAATATTGCTAATATGAGTTATAAAACATTAAATTATAATCTTTGATGTTTCTTTCGCTTTCTTTTTCATCACTACTCAAAATTAATCCATTTAGCTCTTTTCTGGCTTAACAAAAGCCTTTTCCATTTATTCTAAACACAGTCACTTTTTGTATGAGAGTGAAGCGTGTGGGGCATTTTACAGTAGTCTTTCGTCGTTTTTGTTGTTAACGCCAGATGATTAGCACGGCTGGCACGACGAGCACAAAGGGGGGTCTGGGATAAAGCCCCACCCCGGGCACGTTAAACAAATATATAAGCCTTCTTCTCCTCCATTCCAGGTTCTTCTCGCCCAGTTTTTATCTTCGAACATCCGGCTTCTCCATTCTCGACACACAGCTCAACAAATGGTCAGCCTACACTTCCTCAAAATCGTCGTTCCAAATCAGTAAATCAGTAAGATGACCTCACCTCCCAGGGTCTTGGACCGGCCTTCTGCTGATTCTCTTGCGCTCACTGCTGATCAACAATCAAGTTTGTTTTCTTAGCTCACTCAGTTAATCACTGCAATAACAGAAGCCTCTTGCTAGCTAGCGCGCCACAAACGACCGCCAAGCGCATGTGAGTGTCCCATCTTTACTATATGATCGTTCCGACTTGTTTAGGGAAGTAATTTGCCACAGATGATGGAGGAAAGTGTGGTTTTCAAATTAAAAAGAAATCGCGGATTAATCCTTATCTCAGTAGTGCGCACAGAGGCAGGTGCAAGTCCATTATATGCTTGTAGCTTCACAGAATGTGCTCTCTGTTGTATAATAGGTCAAATAATTATTAATGATTTTTGTTAAAAGTAGGTTAAATAACAACTGCGTTGCTATGACGCAATACCCCTGTCTCTGGCCATACTTTGGACACCCCTATCCTTGTTAAACTTTCGCTACCTAGGTAATCTCTGACCACTGGGGTATCAAAGCACTCCTCCCCATTGACGGGTTTGCGATAAATCTTCAAGGACATTTCACCTATCTTACTTTTTTTTGTATTATCTTTTTAATATTCTGCCTATTAATAAATATGTATATAGGACGAGGCGTCGTACACACATGCACATTCTTCCAAACAGGGCATACACTAGTATAAAAATGTTAACTGTTAGGGTCGCGATACCCCGGAATTTCCATTTTCTTAGTTTGCACATATGTACATAAACAAAAATAACTGACCACAATCTGCTTTCAACCGTATAAAATAAGGCGTATAAAAATTAGAGCTAAAATGGTAAGTAAACTTTAGTATTGAGGGAATGCCGGTTCAGATATGAGCCACACAAAACACTGGAACTGGCTGCGATCGACAATGGCCTGGCATTCCCGGTGAAACAT